GCAGGGCTGGCCAGTACACTCAGCCCTGCACCGCCGCCGTCCGGGAGGCCCAGCGGGGGGCCATCCGGATCTGGGAAACCCTGCAGGAGAGCTTCCAAGTGGAGGAGGAGGACTGAACTCTCCCTGCATACCCCACTGGGGCCTTCTTCCACCCTCCCCTCCTTCTCCTTTCCCTTCCCTAACCCCCCTTCCTAATGTCAAATAAAGACACCTGTTTTGACAACCAAAATCTCTTTTATTTTACATAACTGGGGTGGAGGGATGGAGAAATGAGGATGGGAGAGGGGAGGGGGAAACCTGGGAGGAGGGAGCTAGAAGGGGGAGGAAGGGGTGGAAGGGAAGGGAAAGCTCAGGCTTGGGGGTCCTGCTGGCTCTCTCGTCTTGCAGCACTGCAGGTGCGGGGGCGTCAGAGGGGAAGTGGGTGTGGAGGGTGAGGCAGGAGGGACAGGGGGTGTGGAGGAAGCTGGAGGGGGATCAGGGATGGGAGGAGGAGCGAGAGTTGGGACGGCCGCAGGGGCCGGAGCAGGAGGAGGCAGGACCCTGTCCACCAAGGTCTGGAGGTGGCCTCTGAGGGCACGGCCCTGCTCCTCCAGCACCTCCAAACTCTGCTGCTGCAGCCACAGCATCTCCCGGACCCAGTGGTCCTGGGTGTGGAGCTGGTGCTCCAGGAGCCGCAGGTGCCGCCGCTGGTACTCCTCATGGTTCCTGGTGGAGGAGTTCGGGTGGCTGTTGCAGGTGAGGTGGTGCGCCCTGCAGTCCCAGGTGCTGCACCTGTGGTGAAACAAGAGCAGTGGTCAATTCTCCCTGGGGACAAGGTGGGTGAAACACAGCCCCCCTCTGCAAGGCCAGGGCCCCTGCATGACACCCAGCTGCTGCCCCATGGTGGGCAAGGCCCAGGCGCACGGTCCCTGGACTCCTCTCTCCCCACTCCCGTGTACACATAAGGGGAGCATGATGGCACTCACATGTGGAGCCCTCCTTGACCTCGGACGACACAGTCGATGTGCTCTGTGGGATGCCTCGGGAGTCCTGGGTCCTGGGCAGGCTCCTGGCTCTTGGCGTCCTCCTCCTCCTCCTCTGTATCACGGACGGGGCCCTCTGCCCTGGGGTCGATCACTACCCGGGGGGCATGGATGGCGTAAGCCCCCAGGATGTAGTCCAGGGCCTCAAAGTCGGGGCAGGTCTCCGGGTCGGCCCCTGGCTGGCAGGCCCTGGAGTAAGACTGCCACAGGTCCTTAATTTTGCAGCGGACCTGCTCCCGGGTCCGCATGTGGCCTCTGGTAGCCAGGCTGTCAGCCATGCGGCTGGAGACGGCCACGTTCCTGTGGCTAAAGCGGGGAGGATGGGCAATGGGGGGGCCCCCCCCCA